GCAACTTGCTATAAAACACAATCATGCTGTACTCTAGCCTGGAGGAAAAGGCTAGAGAGACTGTTGTATTCCTAGCTCTTAGTTTGGGACAAAACCAGTAGGAATGGGTGAAGGAGTGTCGTCAAATATGTTCCTTGTCTGAGATTCTTACTCTCCAGACTTGGAGGGTTTTACGCTGCTGGGTAATCCAGGAAGACTCCTTCTTGGGTTCTCCAGAGACGTGCTGCACTGCCATTATCTATGCACCTTTAACTGGCCACCTGCAAGTGTTTTCCCACGTTCAGATTTGAAGGTTTAAAAAGAAAAGATAAAGCTAGGTCATTTTCTTTTACCTTTTCTGAGATTGGATCTTGCTCTGTTGTCTGGACTGGTCTGTGACTCTTGGGCTCACGCAATCCTCTTGCCTCAACTTCCTGAGTACCTGGGACTGTGGGTGTAGGCCACTATGTCATATTAACTATGTTAAGGCTCAAGCTCAGTTGGTACTGTGTGCGCCCAGGTTTGATACCAGCACCATGTAAAACCAGGCATGGTTTTGCATTGGATGTCCTTCCAGCACTTGGGGAGATGGAGGCATTTGGGAAGTCCAGCCTTCTTTGGGCCACACAGGAAGTTCAATGTCAGCCTGGGATACACAGGCTTTGCATAAAGCTTGATGTAGCTGTATTTTCTCTCTTAGTAGTTTAAAGGTACTGGATTGTTTCCTCTTGGGTTAGGGCAGCCCTGTGTCTGGCTGTGGCCTTCTCCTCTTCTCAGTGGGCTGTTTAGTCTCATGTGCAGAGGTGTCCACATTCTCAGATGGGCTGCAAAGCTGACCAGACTCTGGGCTGTGCAGTGAGAAGAGCAAGCCAGGGCAGTGTGCATGGATAAGGAGACCCTTGCGCTGCTCTATCCATCACCATCTTGGCCAAGTTCGCAAAGCTCCTTGCACTCCATTCTTCTTGTGAGGGGAGCTGTTGGGAGTGGGGTTAACTTTACCCCAAAGGGTACTGGCCTTTGTCTGCAGCTTTCAAAGGCAGCAGACATGCCGCGATTATTCTGCCTGATCAGAATGGCTTTCCATTCTCATGGGGACTGGGGCCATGTTGGCTATACCACACTGATAATATGGTTTGGGGGAGGGGACTTGGGATTTAGTGTCAACTCTATTCCTGGAGGGATACTAAGACCAGACTGTGTTAATCACATGATTAACTCTCAAGATACAGGTGAGCTGCCTCACATACTGCCAGGCAAAGCCAGTGCTTTGGCTGAAGGTCAAATGGGTGCAACTTGGCCACTAAGGGCCAATCCCATCTCCTGTCGATTGTCCTAAACTCCTCAGCCGCTGTCCTAAACTCTAATGCAGAGCACATCCAATTGCTCATCTTGCTAAGACTCTCCAGGAACACCTCATGCCTGACAGCGCATAGGGACTCCATCTGAGGTGCGGGTGAGCACAGGCTGCTGCAGCCAGCCAGTCTGCTGCAGCCAGCCAGTCTGCTCCTTTGGCAGTGGGGCCTTGCTGAGGGGCCCACACGGCAGGCCTTTATCTAGCTCCTCAAACCCACCATGAAAGAAGGAAACTTGCACTCTCCCAGCAAGTACAGTCACCAAGGAATCTCCTGAAATCTGATGGCACTGCAAAAAGGCCTGCGTTCACTCAGCAGTAACACTCACTGTTGACTGGTGTGGTGGCGCACATTCTTAATCCTGGCACTCGGGAGGCAGAAACGGGCAGCTCTCTGTGAGTCCAGGGCCAGCCAAGGGTACATAGCGAATCCCTGCTTAAAAAACAGGCTCCCTGCCCCCGCACCAACACTTACAGTTCCCACTACCCCTTGCTGCAGCTCAGCACCACTGGCCGCTTCGTGTGGCTCCAGAGTCAGGCTTGATTTTGTGCGCTGTGTGGTGTCAACATTTGGATTTTCAGGAGGCTTGGGTCTCAGTCTTATTTCTCACTTAGAAGATCGACCGCCTGCTCTGGCACTGGCCCTGTAGTCACCTTACAAGCTTTTAAATGTTCTTATTCCAACCATGCTGGGGACAGCTTTAATGGGAATCCAATCGTCCTTGTTGGAGTGGAAACTATGGTTAGGGTTAGGGCTCCCGAAGGTAATGGCGGAAGACAGAGGAAGGGAGCTCAACACTGGGCCACTGGCTTCAAGACACCTCTGAAGTCATCAGTAGTTTAAGGCAGACATCTCCCTACAAGATGCGGTTTGAAGACAGAAATGAAGATGATTTAATAATGTCTAGGTTGGGAATGTGCCCGCACACAGCATCTGTGTTGTGGTTCTCAGCCTGTGGGGCGTGATCCCTTCCGGTGTTAAGTGACCCTCTCACAGGGGTGGCCTAAGACCATTGAAAACACAGATATTTACATTCATAAGAGTAGCAAAATTAGTTATGAAATAGCAAAGAAAGTAATCTTATGGTTGGGGGGTCACCATAACACGAACTATACTAAAGGGTCACAACATCAGGAAGGTTGAGAACCACCAACATATGGGGATCTAGTCCCAATGGATTACGCAAAGTCCAGGGCTCCCCAGCTCCCCTGGCCCTCCCCACCTGGCTCCTGGGGTTCCTTGTGCCCTTTCACACTGAAGGCTACCAGAAACATCTGTCCCTGCCAGGTTTTATCACAGAACCTGAGAAGATGGGTCAGGACTCTCTAGTCTAATAACTGCTTTGTTATATATAGAAGTTTTAGCTCTGCCCAGCTTGTATTTGGTGAGTTTCCCGCAAGCATAATGCACTCTGATTTGGCCTTGAACTGCATATGACCAGGAAAACTTGGGGAGAGAAAGATATATTCTAAGTTTCTTTCATTTTGAGACAGAGTCTCACAGAGCCCAATCTTGCTGTGAACTTCTGACCCTCCCGGCTCAGCCTCCCAAGTGCTGGGATTCCAGATGTGGGCCACCATGCCTGGCAAATTCTAGTTTTCAACGTACCACTGTTCAGAAGGTTCTTCAGAATTCATGTGTTTTTTAAGACAGGGCGTGATGAGCCAGGAGGCCAAGGCCGGAGGATCACTGCATGTTTGAAGCTATGTAGTGAGTTAGAGCAGCCTGAGCCACACACATCAAGACTCCGTCTCAAAACACCAACCAAACAAAAACCCCTAAAAACATAATGCTTTTGTTTGTAAAAAGATGTGAAGGAGATGGTGGGCTGAGTCAGGGAAGGATACCTAGTTTCCATTGGGGTGGGCCAACCTCTGCACGCAAACTGCAAACCCAAATTTAATAACAACCCATTTCTCCCCCACCACCCATGTAGAACAACATACATTTAATTGTGAGTGGAATTTCTGATATTTGAAAGTTCCATGTTAGTATTAGTAACATAGAGTCAATGAGAACAGAGGCTAATGTGTTGCTTTTTAAGGGCTGAGATTTGGTTTAGCATGTTTGAGACTTTGCTTAGGTTTACATAAAAAACAGCATCCTGAAGCACATTGAGGCATGGACTGATGTCTGAGTTTCTTGGTTCTGTGAGGCATCTGCTGGATAGTCCATGCCCTCCTGTGCCCATGCCTCCCCTGATCCTGAGACTTCCATGAGAGTTCAGAGTGTCTCTGTCCAGAGTGTACAGACATCAGTTCCCATTGTTTACCCAGGTGCTTCCACAGCTTATCATCCTTGGGGCGCCCTAAGGGACCTTCCTACCTGTAACGGGTCCCGGTGCATGGCCTGTGCTGGCTCTGCTCAGTGCTGTGGCCCCTCTGCTGTGAATGGGAAGAGTGGCCAATGGTACGAGAATCATGATTAGCCAAAGGACGGTGGCATCTACAAGGTCAATGCCTGGGCTTGAAGGTGGTGTTGAGACGTACTCTTGGCCACTGCTGCTGACGTGGTGACAGCAGTTCTCAGGGAAGACCACGGAGCCCGTGGAAGCACTGCAGTTTCACCAGTGACTGGTGGCTGTCAATCACAGGGCGCCTCTGGCCAAGAATTCCTGCCATGTCCTTCTCCAGTTTCAAGACGGGAGGGCGAGGGATCTCAGAGGGTCACCACCCAGACCCAGGGAGCAGGAGCGCTACCCTCGACCCAATTCATGTCTTCTAACCAGTAAGCTGCTTCCAGGAGGGGTGCTTTCCTCAAACACCTGTGCCAGCAGGCCTCAGGCCCAAGCCCTCAGGCAGCTGCAAGGCCTCTACTGCTTAGCTCCTGCCAGAGGTGGGGCCAGGGTCACGGACTCTGAGGATACCCTTCCTGCCAGAGCGAGAACTCTTCCAGCACGTCTTCACAGCCATTATCAACAATGTCACTGAGGAGAGCAACGGGCCAGTGACAGCTAAACTCACCCTCGGCACCACTACCTACTCCATCCACTCAGTCGGGTATCCAGGGAGAACTCACTTCAGATTCTAAACACTGGGTTCTTATCCACACTGCCTCTTTAAAAGGCATGTCTGTGTGCCAAAAGCTGCTTCTGCTTTTTCTTCTCTTTTGAGACGGTCTCTCTCACGGCGATCTACCTGTTCTGCCTCCTGAGTTCTGAGATCAAGGGTGTGCACCAACACGCCCAGCCAGCATCTGCCTTTTCAATGTGGCTTCTAAGAGCCAAGATGAGGTGCTAATGGACAGCTGCACTCAATAGGGGGACACAGGACACCTGCTTCCCACCTCCAGCCACTGTCCTTGAGTGGTTGGTCTCTGACCTGACAGTTACAGTGTTTCAGAACCAGACTGCCCAACTCCATGGCTAAATTTAGTTTCATGATGAGCAATAAAATTCACATGTTCTTTATTTAGTCCATATAATACACCATTTTAAAGAAGTCTTTAAAATTAGATAAAAGAGCATATTAAATGGCAAGTGCATGAAGTCTTTCTTCATAAACAATGTCAAAACAAAAAAGTTTTGAATTACAAAATGTTAAAAAATATGTTGGTACTTAACATTTCACTAAAAGCATAAAGTTACAGATATTTTCTAAAGAAAAATAACTGCCACTTATCTATTTTTGCTGTTTCTATGAACTTTTTTAAAATTCTGTACATAGGACATTTTGTACAAAATACGAAGTCTACATTTTTATTACTTATTACCATAAAACAAAGATACAATGTATGTACAATGTTCAAAGGAAGCCATACAAAGCCACACTAGAAAGACACTTGAACTGTGACAGCTCTGGTGCAGATACATTTTGGAAAGAGTGAAGGTGCCAGACTGGAGCCACAAGGAGAAAACCAGTCACCGTTTCTTTTCAGCATGGTACTTTTTAAACCAGTCTGGTACAGAATCAACAGCGTGTCTTAACAATATACGAGTCGAACAATTAGCACAGGGAACCCAAGTACTAACTGGGGAAACTTTAATAGGCCAAAATAGTTAAGTAATACTCTTGTCAAAAAAAAAGTAGTTTCTCTCAAAACATTTTTTTTTTCCTTTTCCTTATTGGTAAATGTTTGTCTTCAATAAAGAGCAGAAATAAAACCTGGACCAGAAGATGTTCTGTCGTGCTGAGCTTCGCACAATCATCCGGACACTGATAGCTTGCTTTCCACGCAGGGCGAAGGAGTCTCATAGGACCTCTCACCACACACAGAATGCCCCACATCTGGGCTATCTGAGACTCTACCAGCTAAAGACGAGAGTTCAAACAATGGGGTATGAAAACACAGAGACGCTGCTTTATACAATAAAAGCACCCTTTTTCCCTCAAAAGGAGAAGGCATCTCAACTTTTTTTTTTAAAATAGATTTCATAATGGTAAGTGGATAGATACTTGTCAAGTTTCTCAGGAAGTTTCTTCTCACCCAAGCGACCAACCTGTCCCTCGGCTGGGGCCACCTTTCTGTTTGGCTGTGCTGGCTCTCCCTCTCCTCAGGTGCCTTTCTTCCCTGCTCTGTGGAGTGAGCATCAGCAGACACCTAAGGGGACCCAGAAGCAGGCTCTGAGGCCACATGAGAGCAATGTCTGATTTCACAATTTTTTCACGGATACACAAGACCACGATTAAAAAACAGATTTTAAAAGAAGCCACGTGTTACCATATCTTACGCATCAAGACTTTTAACACTAAGTTATATATGTGCTGGAGACAAGAGAAACTAGTCACTGTTCAGCATTGCGTACACATCTCAAGTAGCTTTCAAGGAGGATAAATAAGTCAAAGTACTGGCCACCCTGAGAGAAATAAAGAATAGACAAAGCACTAGTTCAAGATTTTTCTCTTGTGCTATTCCATCTAAAACAGAAGCTTAGTCCATGCAATAAGTCTATGAAGCCTGTAGCAGCATGTGAAAACTGGCAGACATTGCACTTTTCCTTATGAGCTTCGTAATGTGTGCTTTTTCGACAGAAAGGCTCACTGAGGGCACCCCCATGGTGTGGCCTGCCGTACACCCACAGGCAGCTGCAGTCTGCAGTCTGCAGTAGGCCAAGTGGCTTAATTTATTGTAGCTTTCTACAAGTGTGGAATTCTTAGATCCTATCATTTTATCAATTCAAGAGCCTTGTTGAAGGATAATGTGTAAATAGATGAAAAACTGATTCCGCAAATAAAAACATGAACACATAATTTCAACATTGCGATTCTGGTCAAGGTGGCCTGAGAAAGCACTTCCCAGAACTTTCTCCTCTGAGCTTAGGTGAGACTCTGGCCTCTACAATGGGCTATGAGATATGGCTTTCGGTAGACACTGAGGGAGCAGGATATGGTGTGCATGCTGTTAATCAAAGGAAAGAAACACCTTGGAAGGCCTCAGTGCTGAGGGCTGTTGGCCACTTTTCCAGGAGGCAGTTAGAATGTGAAAGCAAAGGATCATTTGTGAGATTTAACCAACAAACACAAGCTGCTGGCACGGCAGTCACGGAAGCAACACCACGGGCTGTAACGTCGTGAAGAGGAGGAGATACCTTTTAAAGTGTTCCTCTGATCTGAGAGCGCATCGGCGCCACCACGGAATACCTCTGTTAGAGGCACAGGCTCCGCTGGGTGGAAAAGAAGATGATAACCAGGGTGCTTTCCTACAGCTCTGACTTTGGATCAGTCTTACTCGGGGCAATGCTGGGGTGGTGACAGCATGGTGAGGACACAGCACTGGCCCCTGGCTTGGCCAGCAGGGCCAGAGAAGCCACCATTGTTTGAACTCCTAATCTCGGGCGGAGGCAGACGCGAGTTATTGCCTAGAGAACGGGCTGGAGGAAGTTTTGACTGTGAGTGTAACTGATTGGTATGGCACAAACATGTCTTTTCTACAGCATCCAGAAGAGAAGTGCCAGGCCCCGCTCAGCACGCTGCTCCAGAGGCTAGCGCCCATCCTGGGAGACCAGCCCACCGGCTCTGCAGTGAGCTTCCAAGGCTTTCTCGGTGTGGGGGTCCTGAGGCAGCTCGGACTTGCGGCGCACAAGGGGGCGATCCTTCTTCAGATCCTTCTGTGCCTGGAATCACAAATGCAACCCAGTTGGCTATGTGCTAGGCTAACTGAGGGGAGCTCACTTCTGAGTTAGCAGTCAGAGGCAAGTATGAGGCAAGCAAGATCGTGGACGTGCTGCAGCCTCAGCGGGCTGCAGGAAAGGGCCCGTTTCTTACTCGTTCACCCCAGATATCTTACACACATGTAATGACTGTGGGCAGACTGGTGAGCAATGGTGGCTTTAGGATTCCACAATGTTAGTGTTTGCAGAGTTCTCCAATTTTTAATGACTCCCCTAGGTATCCTCCGCTCGCAAAACATCATCAATGTCACTTTATGACCCTGTCTGTTACACATTTCAGAAAGTAGACCTTTTTTTTTTTTTTTTTTTTAAAAAAAAGGGGAAAACAGAATGAATGAGAAATAAATTAGATTTAAAACAGTGAGAGCTAAAATGTCCACAAAAAGTTCTAAAAAAATTTTTTTCCAGTAAGAGGTGTAAGAGGTGTTAAATGGGTCATGTCATGTAGCTGAAAAATTATACCCAGAAAAGCCATTTACATGGAAGTTTCTAATACTGAGTCTGAGAAATAAAACTTCCTTTTCTTTTCCACTCTCTTTCTGAAGTTCAGGAACCCAACTTTAGCAGGAGTATTTAGATTGTTTGTGCACATATATATGTATTTTGAGACAGGATCTCATTACATAGCCCAGGTTTCCCTTAAATTTATTATCAAGTTCAGGCTGGCCTTGACCTCATGGGCAATCCTTCTGTCTTAGCCTCCCAAGTGCTCGGGTCATGAACATGAGCCAGCACGCCTGGGGCTTTAACTAACCGTATCTGCAGAGAATGGGCCAGAAAGGATGCTCTGTGCTGAGCGTCCACCCGGCTTTAATGGAGGCCGCTGGGATAGCACCAGTGCTCTGCAACCCAACAAAACGCCAACTCAGCTGTCCAAAGGCAGGGTGTCGTGAGGAGACTGCAGGCGTCCAGCAGTACTCTTGGACCTGCGCTGCTTAACCCCAGCTGTTTTCCTTTCCACCCAGCGTCTCCAACCGAAAGAAAGTAAACCTCCGTGGTGCAATTTAGAAAACCCCAACTGTTTGAAGCCAATTATGTGGCAACAGGAAGCGCATGCGTGAACGGCTGCTCTGTGTGCAGAAGCCTGACTTCCACGTGATGACAAGACCCACTCCTATGCTCCGGTGGGAAGCCTGAGTGTCACAGTTTGGTGTTTCTTAGCAGGGCTGTCGGTGGAGGTACCTGTGAGAGCAGCAGCAGTGGGGGCTCAGCATCTTCTGGCACTAGGATGGCTTCTAGCTGTCACCTGAACCATGACAGTCAAGACGGCGAAGGAAAGCTTTATGATCTTCTGGCTTAGAAACCAGTGGGAGATGGCGAACCTCACCAGTCCCCATGCTTGCAAGTGAGCATTTACCAATTCGAGAAGCCCAGGCTGATCAAATTCATGGTCCTTCTGCCTCAGCCTCCCAAGTGCTCAGATTTTGGGTGTGCACCACCACAGTGGACACCGGAAGAGTGCTTTATTGTTAACCCACCAGAAACTTTGAAGGTAAGATTCTACCCTGAATTTTATGTCCACCTTGAGGCAAACCAACATTTTAAAACACATGAATTAGGTAATTACCTCTGACATAGGTATGTTAACAGACAGACTATAGCGAACCCTTGGAGCTGGCAGTGAGGGCGAATTGAGAAAACAGCTGGCTGGAGCTTCTGGCACACACGACGGGCCTCTCTGCTTAGCATTGCGAAGAGATGCATAAAGCAGAGAAGACTGACAAGCCACAAGAGGAGCAATGAGAGAAACAGGAGGCAGCAAAGAATGAGACCTTGTGCAGATGGCGGTCTAGAGTAAGATCGGGGGAGACGTTGTGTAAGCAGCATGCAGGCAGGGTGGGTGGTGAGGAAGCAGGGGAGTGTTGGTGTGAGACAGCTCCAGGTGAGACACAGGAGCCCGGGCACTCGGGCAGATGCAAACGGCCAGTGCTGGAGGGTATGCAGAGGGCATGGGCTGGTACACAATGGCACATGCCTCCTTTACCTTGGAAAGCCATTGGGTTCAAACTTTAGAACTTAACATGGGCTGGAACTGATCAGTGTGCCCTTAGCTCTGTCTTGCCCATCACAAGCTGTGATTCACGGAAAGAGGGGAAAATACTTCATGTATGCCATGGTGACTCATCACACTTTCTTTGGTAGATACAAAGCCTTACGTATACTCTATGCACTTTACAAGGAGTACCTGCGCTGCCCACCTTCCATCTTTACACCTTCCTGACTTGCGTGGTTGACATTGATTTTCTCCCGACCAACTGTTAAAAATGAAAATTGTAAACATTTTAAGTGTCTCTGATATCAACGTTATTCAGATGAAACTTATACTCTTTTTTTGGGGGGGCGCGGGGGGAGAGTTCTGTATAGGTTACACATGTTCCACAAAAGAAATCCAAACAGTTCTAACAGGCAAAGCCTGTTCTCCACCCTCCAGCAATCAAATGCTTTCTTAGTATTAGTCTCCTGTCCCCAGCCTTCAGCAGGATCATCTTATTTACCTCCCACCCTGACCTGACTCAACAGTCAAATCCACTTAAAGAAACATGGAAGCTTTTTGGGAAAACAGTGAAAAATAAAACTGAGGGCCATGGAAAAAGTTCACACCATCAAACCCCAGACCTTAGTTTTTAGCGATAGCTTTGTTTGGTTTCTGAGTCTTGCTATGTAGCTTGGGCTAGCTTTAAATGTGCACAAATCTACCTTGGCCTGTGGAGTGCTGAGACCACAGGCTTGGGCCAACCACATCTGGTACTTGGTACATTCCTCTGCTATCATAACTAAGCATTTCAGGAGCATTATTCTAAATGTCAAAGAGGAGTTTTTAATTTCAAATATTACCTATGTGAGACTTAACTCCGTGTACTGGCTCAGTTTAGCCCATAGACATCTTGATGTTGGCAGTATTGTCTCTTTAACTCATGTAAGCTATTTTAGGTCCTCTGTGATTCCACAGCAATTTATCTTATCTTTTTATTCTTTTTCAAAGACAGGCTCTTTGCTAAGTAGCTCAGCTGGTTTCAAACTTGATATTCTCTTGCTCTGTCTGTATGCCATAGGAAATTCAGAATCGGTTGGTTTTTGAGCCTGGGCTGACCTTGAACTTTCGGTTTTCCTGCTTCCACTTCCCAAGTGCTCAGGTTGCAGGAGTGTGCCATCATGTAGGGTCCATGCTGGCCTGGGAATACACCCAGGCCTTCAGGCGTACTAGGCGAGCACTCTATCAACGGAGCTATAAGCCAGGCTCATCACTTTCTCAGGGGGTGCCGGGATCCTAACGGAGGAGTTACTTTGGGTAAACTGACTTCCCATGCACGGCATCTTCTGCCTCAGGAGCATGAGCCACAGAACTTGGAAGGGAAGGTGGAGGACTGACTTTTGAGGATTGCCAATTACAGAAAATTCAACTAGCTGATGTAATCTCAAGAGTCACACAAAGAGAGAGCAAATGTGCCATGGAGCCTCTCAGGGCAACCATACCATGACTGCTTAGAATCCCCAGCTGGTTTGACTAACAGTGATGGGTAGAGGATGGACGGCAGCTGGGAGGCTCCGTGGCCCCGGTGCCCTACGATGTCAGAGCCCACTTTTCACGGCAGTTTTGCTTAAGATGTAAGGTGAACTGGTGTGTGTTCTTGTTCCAACTGCTGAACGTGTAAAGAACAGGGTATAAGTTATAATGAATCATGACCAAAGCTGAAGGATGTGCTAAAGGAAAAATTCTTTTGAACTTTTAAACATTCAACATGCAGGAAATGGCTCACAAATCTTAAACTTCCTCTAAATTTTATATGGCCCAAGTGTATTAAAATTGAATAAAAGGTCACAAATTCCCAGGCGGGCTTCCCCATAGTCCAGGAAACTGGCTTTCTCAGATAAGCCACTCAGATGGGCTGCCACTGGCAAACTCAGGGCTGTACAACCAAAGGAAGGACCTTACTTCCTTCCAGAGTCACAAAAAAAAAAAAAAAAAAAAAAAAATCATGGAAAACTGCCTACAGTTAGAACACAAAAATACATGGGTTTTCTTTCTTTTCTATCCCTTCCTTTTTTTCTAGGAGGGTCTCACTATTTGGCCCAGACTGGCCTTGAACTCACAGTTCTCCTGCCTTGGCTTCTTGAGCTCTGGGATTACAGGCCTGAGTAACTATGCTCTGTTGAGTTCTTGATGAGATCTATTCTTTGCTAAGAATAACCCTTATGAGCAAAGTATGGAATTCAACAAATTCCCGACAGATAGTAGGTTGTCACTGAGTTTTTCCATCACATTTCTAGTATTTCCATATTTTGCTGAGTAGAAAGAAGTATTCATTCATCCATTTAAACACAATTTAATTTAAATGAAGGGGCTAAGGATGAACACAGCGAGTTCAGGAGCTGGGCCCTCCTTGCTCAGCACTCTAACAGGGAGCCTGACTCCAAATCAGACAGCCATGTTGCAATGGGGAGAAGAAACAGCCACACCCATCTTTGCTTATATTATTTACACATAAGACACGGCCTCCCAGGGCACCGTTACTAGCAATCAGGAAGAGATGCTGCTGCACCCTCTCTCCATGCCATTCCTGGAGCATTTCTGTGTGTTATCCTGGGACCACAGCCCTGTTCAGAAGGCTCCATGCAGACGTGGGGCTGGGGCTGGGGCTGGCTTGGCTGGCTAGACTGCCTAGTCTTGGTAATGCCACATCCTCGTTTATCAGGTGAATCAAACAGATTAGAGGCTGCTGTCTAACTGAGCTGCCAGGGACATCATGAGCTGTAAGCAGTGATGAGGGGTTTCCCTTCCACACTCTAGAATTTGAGGGCCTAGGGATCCTGTCATTGGTCAAAGGGGGCTAAAGTTACAAGTCAGGGTGACCATTACCTTTAGGTCCATTCAGGGTTTTGTTTGCGCATGCTGGGAACAGGGAGCATGCCAGAGGAAATGCAGGCTTTTAGGACCGACTCACAGAGGGGCTTGGTAGATCACCCTCTCTGAAACCTTTCTGTGTATGTTCTCAATTTGGCAGAAAGATGTTTCTGGCTCAGAATGGCTCTAAAGCATTGCATAGAGAGCGCTGTTACTGGAAATGCTGCAGGCACAGCTCCGGCCTGCCACTGGGGCCCCCACCTGGGTGTCCTGGGAGGTGAGAGGTGCGGCACCTGCTATGAAGAACTAAAGGGAAATGCCTGTGGACCAGCAGTGAGAGGGCTGCAAAGGGGGAAGTGAATGGCAAGTTGCTACTGCAAAGCTTTGGTTTTGCTCAAGCTACCACAGAGCATACGGGAGTTGGGATTCTGTTGCTAAGATAAATTAAGCAACAAACTGTAGGCAAAGGCTTAATTGTTAAGAACGTTTCTAGCAATCTAATCAATCTATAGACATTTGCCTAACAAGTGGCTACACTTTATAGCATTAGCAGAATTTGGACGGACCCGTCAGCACATCTGTAGTGGGCACAGCCCTGATGCGCGCAGTGCGCCTTTACCTGACGAGTCTCGTCGCTCACTGTCTTTTTCAGCATCTGCACATCTTCAAACTGAGGCCCATCTGTCTCCATTGCAACCGGAATGCTCATGACGCTGGCTTGACTATACACTGCGTACTGCAATGCAAAGCACGGAGTCACTGTCTGTTAGGTGCTGGGTCTGCACTCAGGGCCCTCGTCCTGCAGGGGGCCATTCGCCCACTGCCCTTCCCTGTGGCCCTCTTCCACAAGAAGCCTGCTTGCCCACAGATGAAGCCTGTGGGCTGCTGCCTGGGAGGTGCTGGAAACGGGCTCACCCTCCTGCAGTCTAGGCTATGGGAGTGACCCCTCTGCTGGCCCCAAGATCACTTTCACGTCTTCCTGAGTCTACTTCAAGCCAGTCAGTCTACAGCCCTTTGTATCTCTGGAGGCAAAGCACTGAAGGGAGACTGTCCCCAGCAGACGCTGTCACTGCTTACCCTGTTCTCTGTACACAGCCTGTCAAGGTCCCCTTTCTTGCCCCCAGCTCTCTTTCCTCGCTTCTTCACATCCATCCTGGGCAGCTGGCCCCAATGCTCCCCGTCATTCCATGTCCCCAGTATTTTCTTAAGGTTTTAAAGCTTTCAACACATCTCTATACTCTACTTGCCACCAAAGCTAACACAGCCTGGACTATTGCTGGGATCCCTCTGACCTGGCCCTGTAGTCAGGCCTGCTCTGTCCTGGGGGCCTGTGCTCTCTGCTCCCTTCTGCTCCGGGGCATCAGGCAGCTAGAATAACAGGTGGTCCCCACCTGCCTGTACCACTGACTCCAGGCTTTGTGAGCGGAGGGATGTAGTCACAACCTGCTAGCTACTGCCATGTGCTCTAGGTGGTAAGGCCAGGGAGGGGCAGAGTCAGTGCATACTGCAGGTTGGAGGCCCCGCTCCATTCTTCCGTGGCAATATATGTGCTGCATAGATTCCCCAAGCCTGGGGGGGGGGGGCTGGGCCTTGTGTCCAGGCTTACGGCCACCCACATTCCGGACCTCAGCCTCCACCCCTTCTGGCTAGAAGCTCTGCTCAGCCCAGTCTGCTTCCTGTTCTTAGTTCTCCAACAGGCTGCCTCCTGGACATTAACCATGTGTTCAATTTACCCTCTAGGCTGTGCACTTGTAACCAGACCTGGCACTCGGTTTCTTCCTACAGTGGGCCCTCCTGCCCTTTGTGCTACACGCTCTGCTCAGTAGCCTCTTTTCCACATGTTCCTCCGAGAGTCAGTCCCCTATGGGCCTGGCCCTCCAAGCATACCATGCTGCTGCTGACATCATACAAGAGCTTTCTAAACTGCAAGTCCACCTGGCCACTTTGCTCCTTACATATGTATGGAGAGATAAAGGCAGACGGCTTGTGCCCTCTCTCCAGTATTATCACAGCTCCCCCAGGGCCAGCCCTGAGTTTCTATAGTATTTTCTGACTTGCCTGGGTCTTGGGCCCTTGCCTCAAATGACATGCTGTGTCACAACTGTGAAGCCTGGGCCCCCCACCCCAACACACAAATCCTCATCCCTTCCCAGGGCCATTTCTTTCTGAACCTCCACACAGACATGAGTTACACCTTCTGAAGTCTAGAGCAGTCCCCAGTTGTGTGCTCTGGCCTAGCTGCAGTGCCCCCTTATGTACCCTGTGCTTCTAGATGGCAGTCTGCGTTTGGCTCTCATAATTGTATCACTGGAAATGTCCAGTTTGCTTCAGGACACACAGCACCTTGTCCTCTAGACACTCAAAGTCAGGTGGGAGAACAGAGGAGGAATGGAGGCCTACTGTGAGACAGCACTGGGGACTGTTTAAAGCACATGCTTCCTCTTCTTCATATTCCAGGACAAACCCAGTGTCTTCCACAGATGCTGTACAAGGACTGGAGAGGACCCCGTGCCATTGGCCGTGCTGGCTCACAGAAGACCAAGCCCACTCCCACGTGGCACAGGCAGGCTTCCCATGAGGAGTACAGGCCTTCAAGAGGCCGCAGCTCACAGGGGGACAGAGTGCATAGGCCTTCACCCGAGGTGGAGGACGTGGGGCACCACCCCCTGCCACAGCCCAGCTGCAGCTGTACCTCACAGAATCACGTCTCCCTCACACAACATCCCCGCTGAGGAAGGGGCGTGGGGGGTGGGTGGGCAGTAAGACGCCCTAGAGTCGATTTGGTGGGTTAGGAGAAACACATCCATTTTGGAAATGACCAGCAATTTAGAATGCCACACAAATCACGTGGCATGAGAACCTAGGGAAGTGGCCACAGCTGCCAGAACTTGTCTTCTACCAACTTCCTGATCCCTCCTTCAGCTGCCTGGCTGGGGCTCTTCACATTTCTGAGCAGACAAGACACTTGCTTGGACTGTAAAGCAGGGTGTGCTTTGGGAAGCTGTCTCCCCAGACACCAGTGAATAGTGAATTATGGGTAACCATCCTGTGGACAGTGAAGCTGCAGGTTCACTCTAAGGCTGATGTGATGTGGAAACTGCTTACAAACCCACACAAGCTGTAATGCCAAGCACTAAGTGGAAATTTAGGAAAGGCTTTTCTGTCAAGAGAACAAGTTCTAAGGCATACTTCCAGCTCCGAGGTCTTAACACATGAAGTATTTTCCACTTTAGAGGCATTGTGTCATGGGTCTGGGGCATGTGAACAAGACTCTTGATGACTGTCACAGATGGTTCCACACAGAGATGGGGGGTGAGGACAGTGGGAAGGGAGGTCACCAAAGCTCCAATGCTAAACACAGCACAGGTATGATATCACCATAGACAATTTAAAGAGAGATCAAAAAGAATAAACCAGGAACCTTTGCTGCAAGGCAGTGGCAAACCCAGGCCATGAGTGTGGACACAACAGCCAGCTCTATCATTTGTGAGTACAATTTTTGTGTAGTTTTTTCAACAGATTATTTCCATATTCTATGCAAAACACATCTTCCAAGGTTCTCCACCCCTTAGAGTGGAGAACAAAACAAAGCAAAAAAAAAACCAAAAAACAAAAAACCCAACCTTCCAAACAAGACCCCCAGTGCAATGTCGGCAAAGCTGAACCACCTAACCTGGCCCACATACCAGTGCTTCAGCTTCAGTTTCAACATGAGCCCTGGTATACATGCAGAGCTCTGTAATTACGCCACAGGCCTTAGAAGACCTTCTCTATAGCCTGCCAAGAGCTGCCAGGGAAATGTGGGCTACTTGTTTTAGGTGGAACCTCAGACCTGCAACAGACTGTCATTAAGTCTCCTCTCATCAAAGGGATGCGGGTCAGAATGCTGTTTCATAGGAAAATACACACTGTTATCTTCATGTATCATTTTTATTAAATGACAAAGATTAAAAAACCCACATCCAACTCACATAATAATTTATACACACTTCTCACCAAAAAGAAATACACTGTTTAGTAAGACATTTTCTTCCCTGGAGAGCTGAGAGAAGCCTGAGAGATCTTAGTGTGGAAAAGGTCAGACATTTCATCAAGTGGCTGTTACAATCAGACGCACACAGAGCAAGGAGAAAAGAAACACCCCAGTAACACTGATTGTTCAGACCAGCAGATGCAACACCCCAGTAACACTGATCGTTCAGACCAGCAGACACGATACCAAAGGACCATGATTGCAAAGCTGTCCCAGGGTCATGCCAGCCTAAGAGCTAACACTGGATGCAGGCCGCTGAGTTGCCAGCAGCTCTGGCAGATATGACCATCTGTGTCTCGCTTCGCCTTACGTGAGCATACTGCCATCAGCTAGGGTAGAGGAACGGTTAGTGTGAGCAGGGCAGAATTCAGTTAGTTTTTCAGCATACTTCATCTACTTCATACTTCATCTGTTTCATATATGAAAATAAAAAAGAAATATGGTTCAAGTGACAGCATCTATGACATTTGAGCAAGAAAGGACATTACAATCTTTGAGGTTACATCCTCGTTTTCTTTTTACCACATCATATCTTAATTTTAAAAAGAAAAGTCAACTCTGTGGTAAAAATTATGTGTGGCAAATAAGTACTTATACAAGAGGAAGGTTACAAAGTTGGAAAGTGTTTTTATTGCAGACATTTGCACATACAGTGTTAGTGACGTTGGCCTCCCTTTCTGGGGCAAGCCAGAGCCTAGTCATCAAACATTCAAGCAATGCCTCAACACTCCCGTGTTACTCTCTTTTTCAGTACCTGGGGATTCGCTTTGGCTAGATTCTCTATTTTAACCCATGCTTCTTCTCGCTCTTTCATTTTTAGCTTCTCTCTGAAAAACAGTAAAACATCATTTGTATTAGGACAGAATCACAGTCAGGCAAGTTAGGGGTAAAGCATGGAGACATCAACAACACAGTCCTCGTTTCCAGGTACTTTCTGTCTTAGTCCACGTTGTACAGTGTGGCTCTCAACATGTGCAATGTGAAAAGAAACCTAAGAACCGGCCAAGAATTAGACTAAAGAGTTAAAAAAAGTAAAATTTTAACACGACTTTAAAACATTACCCCCCCCCACTCCGGCACCTCCTGCAAGTAGGTCTACTGTTCTTAGCCTGGCTGACTGCTGGTTTTGAGACCCACTGGCAGGCGGGGCTGCAGAGGCCAGAGCCAGCACCCCAGGGACGACAATATTCCAAGGGAGACCATAGCTGCTTCTGATTCCATTATTATCAGCACTGAATTGGAGCCACTTCACCCCCCCATCCTCAAAAGCATTATAGGTAGCTTTTGGAACACCATGACTCTACAGGAGGGGAAGAGCACCACCGGAGAGGTAGATCCTTAGATACTTGTCACACTAACCTTTGTCCTGTGTTAAGGGCTGAGACCTGGTCTGGCACAGCTCTCTACGGCCCTGCTACCCTGAGCACCACTGACTATTTTACCCAGCGTGGTCTGCTTTACTCCACCTGCCCTATTTTGGCAAGGATTTTCATTACATTCACTTCTATATTGCCAGGAACCAAACAGAGCCTGACATGCAGCCAGAAGTTACCAAAGAACAAAGAAATGGCAGTTGGCTAAACAAACACTCTCTAGGTTGTCTACGTTAGACACTTAAAAAAAAAAAAAAAAAAAGATTTATTATGTATACAATGTTCTACCTGCACTTGTGCCTACACTCCAGAAGAGGGCACCAGATCTCATTATAGATAGTTGTGGTTGCTGGGAATTGAACTCAGGACCTCTAGAAGAGCAGCCAGTGCTCTTCACCTCTGAGCCATCTCTCCAGCCCTACTTTAGCCACTTTTAAGTAGCAAGCAGAAAATAATCATCATCATCATCATCATCATCATCATCATCATCATCATCATCATCATCATCATCTGCTAATGGCTCACAGTGGGTTAGCAATGATTTTTTTTTTTTTCTCCTCTTTTTCTTCAAAAAGACAAGGTTTCACTATATAGCCAAGACTGGCCTTGAACCTGAAATAATCCTCCTGCCTCGGCCTCTGGAGTTGGGGTTATGGACTTGTGTTGCTATGCCTGGTCTAAAAAATGACGTAAGTAAATAAATAAAGTGCATTGTTATTATGCGGGTGTGTGTGGTTAATGCCATGGCCTGAGGGTGAAGGTGAGAAAACAACTTGTGGAGTCTGCTCTTTCCTTCTGTTTTCACACAGGTTCTGAGCTCGGGCATCAGACCTGTTTAGCAAGTGCCTCTACCCACCGGACTGTCTGGTCAGCCCTAGAGTGACTTCCTAACTAATCAATCCCAGGACTATGTGCCCAGCCTAGGGACAGAGCACCCCGATATCTAGACAGTCTCTGGGAGACACAGCCTCTGAAATCCTCATGAGCATAGAAGCAGTGCTCTGAAAAAAGCAAAGATAACTCAGGCAGTGAAGGGCGAGGACACCGGCTTTGGACACATGCTCTTTGGTGACAGGCCACCAACCTTTGCCTTGCTTCACCAGAGCAGAACAGGGTTTCTTTAAAATGAAAAAGTGTTTCTTCTGTACGACAAACAATGGTGGTGGAACATTCAGGGCTGTGGCGAATAAAAACCCACCCTGGAACCTGTGCGAGGTGCCACTTACTTCAGTTTCTCTGCTTTGAACTGCTGGGTACAGTCATCAAAGAGTTTTTGGTTCATCTCCATGAAGAGTTTCAGGGCATTGTATATCAAGCCATGTATAGTCCTGCAGAGTGAATGCCATAGTGAAAAATCAATGCTGGACCCTTGTCATCCTTCTCCGGCCTGTCACAGCCCCTTCACTAACTCTCCGGGTCTCCCTTATATCTGATGTCCTACCCGCAACAAACTCGCTAGGTTCTAATACAACCTGCTAGTTCTGACTCGGTCTGCTTTCTGAGTCAGGGCTTGCAGGCACCTGCCAGGCAGGGGAAGTTCCTAGGTAATAGCAGCCAAAGACACTTTGCCTGGAGACTGAACAGAAAATGTGGACTCCTGAAAAGAATCAGGGGTAAATTATTAAGATGGCAGTAATAGAAAGACTGTACTTAGGATGCTTTACAGAGGAAAGGAAAGCTCTGGCATTCACATCTGGCTAAAGCCGAGTATTAAGCTCAGCATCCAACACATCTGAGAGCCATGTGGAGTCCCATGCAAGGCATCAGAGAGCTTTCAATGGGTGAAGTGAAGCGACAGGGCGGGGACTGAACACCCCTCATTCCTCAGGCCGGCTAAGTCGCTTGTTCTCTCTCCCCTCTAGGTAGTGTCCACAGCAGGCTGGCCATGGAGTTTAATGGACAGGCTCCCCTGGTGTGTTGTGGGACTTGAAGGGCTACCTAAGGATTGGTGTGTCCACTGTGTTCCAGCAGGACTGAGTCCTTTGGACTTTGCGGTGACCTTCAATCTCCTTTGGAGGCTCCAGGAGAGGCCTGGAAGGTGCTACTGCTGAAGCCAGCAGGAAGACGGGTGCAGACAAATAGGCCTCTGTGCTGGCTTGGCAATGGGGGCAAGGAGACAATCCACACTGCTGCTGAACTTAAAAAGTCACAAATTGCTGGGTGGTGGTAGAGCACACCTTTAATCCCAGTGCTCAGGAGGCAGAGGCAGGTGGATCTCTTGAGTTTGAGGCCAGCCTAGTCTACAGAATGAGTTTCAGGACAGCCAGGGCTACACAGAGAAACCCTGTCTCAAAAACAACAAAACCCCCAAACTAAACCAAAAGTCACAAAGAAACTGATGTTCATTTTAAAAGCTGATGGTAAGTTTAGGATTCAACTCTAACTGCAGTGACAACAGGCATGCCCTATTTCCAAGAGATAGGAAGCTGAGAGCTCGCAGTTCCTACTTGTTCCAGTGGGTCTTTGAGTTGCGGTACAAGGATGGAAACATGATGGGCAGAATCTTTGCTGCGTTGTCACTGATTAAACTCATAATGTATTCATTGTTCCAGTAATACAGCGCCCGCTCTGCCACCTGAAAGACAGGGGTGCAGAAATATCGGTGATCTGAACAACGCATCCAGGCAAACACTCTTCCTGTTATGCTTGTGAGTAAGTTACTGTGGATAAGACAATTACAGTGAAGAGGCAAGATAACTTCTATGTGAAGAAGTCAACAGCGTCATTCACTTCTCCATTTACTCAATAAGTAGTCATCATGAGACCCCAGGCTGGAAGCCCACACTAAGTCAAAGAAATATGTGCGCGCACAGATGCGTGATTCCGTAGTGATGCATGTGTGTAGGTAGACACACGTAGAGGATATAGGTTGGCACTGGGTGTCTTCCTAAATTACTCTCCATCTTAGTTTTTGAGACAGAGTCTCTCACTCAACTTGGAGCTCCCCAATTTATCCAGGCTGGCTGGCAGGGATCCTCCTGTTTCTAGCCCCAACCCCCAACCAGTGCCAGAATTGTAGGTGTGGCCAGGTGATCCAAACTCAGGTCCGCAAGTTTGTGCAATGAACACATTGTTGATGAGCCTACCCTTAGCCACTCACTCCCACTCAGCCTGTATTAGCTAGGTTTGTAGTGTGTGTGCCACCGAGCACGGAAGCTGAAGCACAGCTTACACTTGGTGGCGGAGTAGAAAATGGAGATGCTCAGTTTCCTAGAAATGACAAACAATGTGCTGGCAACAGGGTTGTGTCTGTAGGTGTAGAGGCTGTATCCCAGGCAGACCCTGGGTGAAGGATCCTGAGAACAAGGCCTGCAAGGGTGCAGCAAACCAGAGGGACAGGGATTGCGAAGGCTGCAGAGTCACATCTCGGGGCCTTCGAGCTGGCCCTTGCTTTGGGTGAACTGGGGAGCCATGGGAACCCCTCCATACTGGTTTCAAGTTCCCAATACAGAAAGCCGAAGAGCTAGGCTAAGCATTCACACCCCCACATCCAGTGTGCAGTGTGCCTCAGCCCTGACTGCTGTCCTTCAGTCAATGGACACACACATGTACAATCTGAACGACCATCAGAATTCACAAATCACCAGGGAACATGGTCAGTCCTGTCCCAGGCACACACTCCTAAACACACAGCCAGAGTGCTGTGTCAGCCTCAGAAGTTCAGAGCAAGGTGGGCCCATGGTTCTGCCACCAGAAGCCTTGAGTGGGTGAGGCAGGAGGCAGCTGGGGAGGGTTCTGGAGCCAGGATCAGTCCTTCAGAGAAAGTGGAGAGGCGAGCTTTGAAAATGGGTAAGAGAAGGGCATATACAAAAATATAGAACATGTGTTTTGTTTTTAAAAGCGGGGCTAATGGATGGCTTGCGGTAAAGGTACTTGGGACCAAGCCTAATGACCTTAGATTGATGTCTGGAATCCACATGGTAGAAGACACAACTGCTCCAACACACACCCTGCGGTATGCACTTGTGTCGATCCACACTCATAAAATAAATGTAAATCACTCAGACAGTTTTCGGATGCCTCACTACTGCTTATGCTGAGTCTCTTGCCTGAGCCTTCTACATGCTGGGAATAAAGGTGTGCAGCATCACGGATGACTAGGAATTCAAGAACTTCTATGTCTTCTTTCTTTTGTTTTTGAAACTATGCAGTTCAGGCCAACCTATAATTTATTTATTTATTTTTAAATTTTCTATACATCAGTGCTATGCCTTTATATTTGTCTAAATGAGGGTGTCAGATCCCCTGGAACTAAAGTTACAGACAGTTGTGAGCTACCATGTGGGTGCTGGGAACTGAACCCAGGTCCTCTGGAAGAGCAGCCAGTGCTCTTAACCACTGAGCCATCTCTCTAGCCCCTCAACCTAGAATTTACAATCTCACTTCAGCCCTTCATGCCTGGCCAATGTCTTACCTGTACCTTTTTTTTTTTTTTTAAACAAAATTACACTTATTTATTATGTGTTATACACACATGAATGTCTGTGGTATGCCATACCTTTGTGGCCCTGGAGGACAATATGGAGGAGCTGGTTCTTTCACTACGTGGGTCCTAGGGATCAAACTTACTGCTCACTGTCAGATTTGGTGGCAAGCACCTCTACCTGCTGAGCCACTCTGTTGGCCCTGTATCTTAATTTATTGTGCGTGCACACGTGTGAGCATGAGCTATGACATGCATGGAGGTGAGAGGTCAACTCTGATTCTGTCTGCTCCTCCCACTCTCCTGTGGGTTCTGCATACTGAACTCAGGTCAGCAGGCTGGGCCATCTTGCTGTCCCAACAGTTTGTTTTGTTTTCTTACTCTTTTCTCTTTTGAGACAGGATCTTACTATGTTGTCCTGGCTGGCTTGGAGCTTGTTATGTAGCTGAGGCTGGCCTTGAACATTTATCTGTCCATAAATAATTTGGATATAATATTTCAAGCCTCATTAGAAAACAGAACATAAGGTACTTGAAGGCTAAAATTATAAATTTTGTTTTAGTTTTTAATACAATTGTGTGTGTGTGTGTTTCCTTGAGGAACAGTAGACAGATTGACCTGGAACTTGTGATCCTCCTGCCTTAGTTCTGGGCTTAGCTACTGCTCTCAGTTGTTTTAAACAAGCTCTGGCAGTTTTGTTAAAGAAAGCTTTCAGTTTACTTCTCTCTGGCATGCTTCCAATACTGTCACTCCCCTGGCTTAGCGCCGGCCCATGCACTCAGTACTTGTGCATGATCTTCCCAGTTCGTTAGTCCTGCCAATGTGCTGCCAGGCACTGGCTCTGAGGAACGTGGCATAGCATTCCATTTCAGATGTGCTGGGCGCTGGGCCCTTGATAAGGACATGTGGCTTCACTCTGTCCTGTCTGCTCACAGCAACATACATACCCATATATACTTTAGACTTTTTTTAAAAAACCATGTAAGTTTATTTAGTTTGTGTGTGCATGTGGCAGGGGTCGGGGCATGTGTACACAGTTTGTGTGTCTTTGTGAGCAGTTACTGTAGCCTGCCTAGCACCTTGCAGCACCATGGAAACTGACAATCAAAGAAGCTTCCAGTTCAGTACCAGCTTGGTTTCTCCAAGTCCTGTGACAAAGTGTTTGGCGTCTTCAGTAAAATGGTCTAAGTATAATGGCTATAGCCTGTATTGTTCTGGGGGGGGGTGTCAGAGATCCTTTTCTGTAACTCCTGCTGTAAAGAGACACCACAACCACGGCAATTAATACAAGAAAGCACTAACTGGGGGCTCCCGGCTCCAGAAAGTTATCCATGAGTCCATGATCCTTATGGCAGGGAGCATGGCAGCAGGCATGGTGTTGGAGCACTAGTTGAGAGCTTCCATGCTGAGACAACCAGAAGGCGGAGGGGGAAGACTGGGCCTGGCGTGGGCTCTGCAACCTTGAAGCCTATCTTCCTGACACACCTCCTCAGACACAACCTTCTAAACCTTCCCAAAATAGTTCCACCCGCTAGGGACCAAGCATCCAAACACAGGAACCACGAAAGCCATTCTCATTCAAACAACACAGGGGCCTCTGGGAGCCCTCCTCACTAATAACTTGAAGGGAGGTATCTCATGCTTGGGACTAGAGATTTTGTTTGACAGGCAATGGTTTCTGGGAGAAGTAGTAAGTCCCTCTGGAGAAATGGGAAAGCCTGATCTAGAGGTTCCTTCTCAGCAGACTCAGACCTGGCCTTGTCCCCAGCAGAGCTGTCAGGAGCTTTGTCTCAGTCTCGCTGGCACCAATGACTTCCTTCATTGGAAAGGCTCTTTGTGGAAGGGCCTCAATGTTGAGACAGAAGTCTTTTGGGACTCTTGGTCCCTTCCTGCAGCACTGGGTGCTCAGTTTCATGCTGGCTAAGTAGTCACAGCTTCCAGGGGCACCAGCTTCCTGGAGCCCAAGACTGCTTTCTTTACATCTTTACCAAGCTTTTGACTGCACATCAGCTGGACACAGCAGAAGGTATCCCTGGAAGGGGAGCACAGCTAAAGCAGCTTGGAGAACTCCAGAGTAGAAAGTGAGTGAGACACTAGCCTCCCAGACGAGATGGTAGTAATAAGAAAAACCGGAAATACTATTTCTTTTTTTTTTTTTTTTTTTGGTTTTTGTTTTTCAAGACAGGATTTCTCTATGTTGCCTTGGCTGTTTTGGACTCACTTTGTAGACCAGGCTGACCTCAAACTCACAGAGATCCGTGGAGCGCTAGGATTACAGGCATGTGCCACCACCCCGGGCTCTTTTCTTTTTTGAGATAGGGCTTCTCTGTGTAGCCCTGGCTGTCCTTGAACTCACAGAGAAGTGTCTGCCTCTGCCTCCCGAGTGCTGGGATTAAAGGCGTGTGCCACCACTGCCTGGCAGAAATACTAAGCCGTAAGATTTGTAAAGAGGTACAAACATACATGTCGGAAAGGAAAGACTTTATTTAGGAAGAGACTTTCAAGGTTAAAGGTTTTTATTGTTGAGTTACCCACTGATGTGGATAAGTCAATTATGATAAGTAGGGCCCTGTAAGCAGCACATCACTCCTGGATGCAGACTGTTACACAGACAGTGTTGTCAACCACACTTGCCGAGAACCACGTTTTCAGTGATGAAAGCTCGGGGCAGGAAATAAAACTACCCAGAACTACAATTATAATTTTTTTTGGGTCCAAGGTGTCTCTATAGATCAGGGTGGTCTCAATTTGTAGCAATCCTCCTGCCTTAACTTCCTAAGAACTGGGATTACAGGAATGAGTCAATCTGCTTGGCTAAAATTTTAGCATCTAATTTTGAAGTACATGTTAAGTAAAAAAAAAAAAAAAAAAAAAAAAAAATTCACCCTTAGATCCCAGCAGGAGCAGCGCACAAGCAGCTTCACACCGAGAATATCATTTTGACGGAGCACCTGACCCGTCACCCAAATCCGCATACCTGGAAGTGAGGGCTGGAAACACATTTGGCTAACTGTCGAAAAAGAGGCTCCATGATCTTCACAAATTCTGATGGTTCAATTACATCTAAAATTTCTTCTAATTCATTTAAGAACATTACTTCTTTTGGACTGTGAGTCTTTGGCCAGTATTTGAGAAGTGCCATGACCACCTACAAAACAGCAACAGCAAAGAGTGATGCCCTCAGGAGACGCCAAAACACTTTACAACAGCTGCTCAACCTGTAGGTCTCGAGACCTTCAGCTTGAGAATCAGGTATCCTGCATGTCAGATATTCACGTTATGATTTATAGCAGTAGCAGAATTACAATTATGAAGTAGTAACAGCATAATTTTGTGGCGGGGTCACTACATGAGGAACTGTGTTAAAGGGTCACAGCCTTAGGAAGGTTGAGGACCACTGTCTTAGAGGAAGATGCCTGTGCTGCCATTAGACCTCCCCACTGCAGAGTGACACGAGAGACGATGCTGAGAACGAGCACTGCCATGCCTTTTCTCTCACTGACAGTCTAGTTTTACATATGTAAAGTGATCCATCCCCTCGGAAGACTGCTGGAGACCATGCAGACTGTGTTCTAGTGTGGAAGTTCTGATACTATTAGCAACATTCCTGTTACACACGATCCACTTCTCAAGTTAACTGACTACTGTGTGTACGTGTACACACACACACACACACACACACACACACACACACACACACACAGCATTTCCAACTTTGTTAAACTATCACAAGGGTGTTGTCAGTGAAGTAAATGTGAGCTCATACCCACTAGAGGTGATGGAGCTGAGCTGGGTTCATAATGCTCGCTCTGTGTGGTTACCCAGAGCTTGAGAATGAGTGCTGGCAGAGCTGCTCAGGTAGAAGTACATGGCAGCCACGACCTTGACTGGGAGCCACGCTACTTGGCCTGAGGCCCAGTGAGTCACATTATGAGACCACAATACTTTCCTAGTCTGTGGCTACTGAATGCTACTATCTTTGCCTAAGTCAGACTGCTATATAGAGTGCATACTGGGCAGCTTAAAAAAAAAAAAAATGCTCCTTCTATACTTTTAAATGTCTTACTAAACTATACCAGCAGAAAATGCTGGACTTGATTCTACAAAGATTAGCTTTAGAGTTCAGCTATCAAGTTTTAAAAAGCAAAATGAGCAGCAGCAGGGAGGTCTTCAGAAGGGCACATGTGCACACAATTCTGCACACACACACCTGCACAGACACCTGCATATACATCTGAACAGGTACAGCTTGTCCCTTTGAAGCAGCTGTGAGGCCTTGTCTGTGAGGCAAGATAGAAAGATGAAAAATTAAAGAGACCTGGGACTTGAGAAACCTCAATACAATTTACAAAACTAAGGCTGTCTACAAAGAACACTCCTCCTTTGCCTACAGACTTCAATAGACTATGACTACTTGGAGTTGGGAGGTTGATGGCCTGGATTTGAAGATGTCAGCGCTCCTCTTTAACTCCCCAGTCTAAACGATGCACTTCATAAAATCTACCCTATGGTTTCATTTGTAGAGGAAATTCTTTATCACTCTTATTATTTCCTGTGTTTGTGTGTGTGGCTGTTGGAAGATAGCCTATAGGGACTGGCTCTTTCTTTTCACCATGTGGGCCCCAGGAATTGAACCCATGTTGTCAGTCTTAACATGGAAAACCTTTATCCGCTGGGCTACCCTGATGACCCACAGAAATTCTTTAAAACAAAGAAATAAGCAAACAGTTCATACTATTTAAACATGATAAATATATAATATATAAATTTAAATATATATGAATATTATGTATACATTTACTTAATTTTTTTGAGACAGGGTTTCTCTGTGTAACTCTTGCTGTCTTGAAACTCACTACGTATATATATATATATATATATATATATACACCCACTGTATAGACACTAAGAGTAACTCTCCTGAAGTTGCTGAAGTTGGAACCCTTGCCTTGGTTGTTGTGTTTGTTAGGTTATTGCTGTGAAGACGCACCATGACCATGGCGACTCCTATAAAGGAGAACATTTAATTGGGGCTCAATTATAGATGTTTCGTCCATTATTGTCATGGTGGGGAGCATGGCAGCAATGAAAGCAGATTATGGTGCTGGAGAAGGAGCTTAGAGTTCTACAGTTTAATCCACAGGCGGCAGCAGAAGACCACCCCACCAGGCCTTGCTTGAGCATGAGACCTCCAAGCCACCTCCACAGTGACACACCTCCTCCAACAAGCCCACACTTCCTAACAGTGCCACTCTCCATGGACCCCGCATTCAAACACATGAGTCTATAGGGGCTACTGAAGCCACCACAGTTGTGTACTGCCTTTTTAGTAGGCCTGTGCGCCGTCTCTCTCAATACCCACAATTAAATCTAAAGCACAAAGGACTATTTGTCTTCACTTAAATTTACTGTCTTTGTATCACTCTGATTCAACCTGGAATGCTTTTTCACAGTGTTACTAAGGACCTGGTCTAACTGAACGGACCGTGCGCGCATGTGTGTACACTCCTCAGGCTACTAATAGCAGTGCTGGGCTTTGTCTCCCTTTCTCCACCACCAATGACAGTCTTGACAATACCCAGAGCGAGCATCCTGGCTCCCATGTTAGGACCCACACTGCTGAGCAGTCCCTGGGTATGCTGCCCCTCAGAACACCCTGGTTTCTGTCACTCACTTGTCACTCCCAGCTCAGAAATGGCCTGCTTAGCAAGTCATTCTTTCCATTATAACAAGGATAAAAAGACAAGGTGGCATATGAGAAATATTCACATACAATTATGCCACTTTGATGTTTTGGGTACTTCAGAACATTTTTTCCTACTACTTACCTATTGGAAAACTTCAAAATTCATTTCACAAGTTCTTCTAATTTTAGGATCTGATAAAAATCTGCAACTATCTTGAGGTGGGCATGTGCTTTAAGTCTTTGATTCTAGTCCTCAGGAGGGAAGGAGGCAGGCAGACCTCTGAGTTTGAGACCTGTCTGGTCTACTACTGCATTCCAGGCCAGCCATGGCTAGTAGGACTCTCACAAACAAAGTCTTTAAAAGAATCTTTTTTCTTTCTTTCTTTCTTTCTTTCTTTCTTTCTTTCTTTCTTTCTTTCTTTTTTTTTTTTTTTAGAGACAGGGTTTCTCTGTGTAACCCTGGCTGTCCTGAAACTCTCCTTGTAGACCAGGCTATCCTCAAATTTATAGAGATCTGCGTGCCTCTGCCTCTTAAGTGCTGGGATTAAAGATGTGTATCGCCATGCCTGGCATAAAAGAATATATTTCCAAAGTGCATTACATGCTTTTCCTCCTATTAGCCTGGCATTACCTACTAGGCAGTTCTTATTTACTTTGAGTCAGAACCCCTGCTGACATGGGAGGAGTCACTGTGAGCCCACACTGTGGCCTCCCAGCTGTCAGCGGGTTTCAAAGCCATGAAGGAGCTGTACAGCACCTCAATCTGGACTCATATGCTGGAAAAGTCATGATTTCTGAATCAGGTTCACAATGGCCTTTTCCCGGATCTCTGGAACTACTGTGAGCAGTGCACAGCTTTCTGGGCTGTGTGAGAGAGGGGCAGGCCTCTGCTAAAGGGGTGCAGCTAGGGCATACTGATGCTAGACAACAGCAGCTCTAGGCTCCAGGTTCACTGCTACTGCTTCCTCCCTGCATGGGGACAGAGGGAGCACATCAGTGGCCCTGCCTGAGTGCTGGGGAGCCTGCCTTGGTGTATCTAGGAGCAAAGCAGTGGCTGCCAAGACATGTGGGACATGTCCTCCATTGGCTGAAGGAAACAGGTGAAAGCAGACACAGTTGTGTAAAATCTCCCATGAGCCTCTATTCCGGCAACAAAGTAAACAGCAAATATGTCTAATGTGTCCAGGACACTTAGGAGTACATGAAAAATATCAACTAAAGGGTCAGCAAATGCCCTTTATAGACTGCGGACTTTCAAGTGGAACATAGTGATAGGCAATTTCCATTGTCAGCTTGACTGGACTAAGAAACGCCTAAGGCATTAGTGAGACACACCCAAGGGTTCATCCTTTTGGGCTCTTCCAGAGAGGATAAACTGGAGGAAAGGACTGCCCTGTGTTGGTAGCACCATCCAGGGGCTAAAGTCCTAGACAAAGTAATAATTGAGAAAGGAGAGGGCTGGAGAGATGGCTCAACAGTTAAGGGCACTGACTGCTCTTTCAGAGGACCGGGGTTCAAATTCCAGCAACCACATGGCAGCTCACAACTGTCTCTAACTCTAAAGATCTGACACTCTCACACAGACACACATGTAGGCAAAACACCAATGCACATAGAATAAAGGTAAATAAATTTAAAACAATAAAAATAAATCCTGAGAGAAAGGAAGAAGGCAGCTGGGTCCTGGCCTTTCCCTTTTCTGCTTCCAGATCTGTCTAGAAGAGGGTGTCTGATCCCCTGGAGCTGGAGTTCTAGGCAGTTGTTTGAGTGCAGGGGACCTCTGAAAGAGCAACAAGAGCTCTTAATGACTAAGCTGCCTCTTCAGGCCCACTTTCCTTTTTCTGAAATTGAGTCTTGCTACAGGGGCCCAGGTTCACCCCAAACTCATGGTAATCTGTCTGCCTTAGCCTTCTTAACCACTGTGCCTGCTTGAACATAAATGGATGGACTGCATGGGCTATGAACTGTAGTTCAGGTTATCTTTAAAACGTGAATTCAAATGCTCAGACAGGGCTGGCGTCTGGCAGGACTAGTTTGCTGACCATGGCTACATTTACTGACTGATTTTTAGTGGAGGTGCCAGGAATTAATAAAGATAAAATATACCCCCAATCAAAAATCCAAACCAAAAGACAATAGTCTGTTGCTGTTCAGCGATTGTAAACCAATGACACTAACCTAGAAAAAACTTCCAGAATAAATGAAAACCTCTTGAGTACAACAAGTGAACTATACTCTTGCTGCAGCACCTGTGGCTAGGTCAGGACACGTGCTGTCAAACGTGAAGGACTAAATGGGTCCAGGCTGGTAGCCTCAGCTGTTCAAGCACTGTGTTCCAAGGACTGGCGAGCAGTACGAGACAAGGTCGAAAGCTTGTTACATAAAACCATCACTGTGGTGAAGACACTTGCAGCCAAAGTGCCACACTTAAACCTCTAACCCAGGAGTGAGCTGACGTGCGCTGACCCTCCATCACCACCACCCATAAGGCAGCGTGGTAAACCGCATGGTGTAACAGTTGCTCAGAGAGGGGTCCAAAGAGACTACTTACTGGTTCAGTGAGGGTGCTGTCCTTCTCTAAAAACTGCACAACACAGTACGCCAGCTGAAAGGGAGGGAGAGAGAGCATCAGCACGTTACTTCGCCATGGCAACGCCCTTCTAGACCAACCACCAAACACTATCCTGGGGAAATGGCCTCATGTGGAGATGCTGCTCCACATGCCACCTGTAACTGCACTGAGCGACATTTCAGGGAAGCACCTTTAGGATAATGCCCAGTGCATCATTCTCTTCCTATTAATTTGTGACACATTTCATAGCTACGCCCCATCCCAAGAACCACAAAAACCAGGAGACAACTTTCAGATGAATACCACCACCAAATAAACCAAGCGAGATAAAGGGTGTGTGTGTGTGTCATTTTAAAGATTAGAATGGAGAAGTAATATAGTAACTGGAAAAAATTTAATTCAGGATTCTACCAGAAGTTTCTGAACTTTTCTTTTCTTTTCTTTCTTTCTTTTTTTTCTTTTTTTTTTAAAGACAGGGCTTCTCTCTTTATCTCTGGCTGTCCTGGACCTGCTTTGTAGACCAGGTTGGCCTCTGCCTCCCAAGTGCTGGGATTACAGGTGTGTGTCACTGTGCCTGGCCTGACCCATTCTTTTTTTTCTTTGAGATAGTCTTTATATTTAAGCCCAAAGTTGCTGCAAGCCTCCTGCTGCAGTCTCAGAGAGCTGAGAATAGGTGTCTACCATCTAATCTTTATTAACTACTTCTTTATTAAGCCAACCTGACCAGCTACCAGGTGATACCAAACAGAAAATGAGCAAATTATTTCCCAGGAGGGCAGTGCCATTGAATCAACGAATAATACACTTTTTGTAATGTATTCCAAGCCACCCACTTCCAAGGACCTCTGGAGAATGGAATCTTATTTACTTTTTATTTACTTTTAATTTTTAGGCAAGGGCTTGCTATATACAGCCCAGGCTAGCCTCAAACTCATGATTTTCCTGCCTCACCTTCCGAGTGCTATGATACTTGTGAGCTTTAAGCTTTGGTAAGAATCTTTTGGTTTCCTTTTCTTGCAGCGTGGGGACGGAACCTAACACTCCACACATGACAGGCAAGCACTCTCCTACTACATACAGTCCTTCCACGCAAACTTTTTGCGGGGGAGGCTGTGTGTGTGCATGTGTGTACTGGGGAGAGGCAATTACAGTTCTTAGAAGTGTTTTGTTATTTTGTTTCTGTGCGAGTTAAATCTGTGCACCATGGGCATGCAGTATTTACAGCAGCCAGAAAAGGATCCACTGGAACAGGACTTCTGGACACTTGAGAGCCACTTGTGGGTGGGAAATGAACCTGGTCCTCTGGAAGCGCAGCCAGTGCTCTTAAGTGCTGACCCAAGCCTCCAGCCTCTTGTCCATGGGTTCTCATGCATAATGGCACTCTATTCTGTGTCCAGCCCTGTGGCAGTCAAGAGTAAGGGATTACAGCTGCAACTGAGGCGGTCACCAGTTTGAGACTCAGCATAGCTCAAGTTCTGTCTATGGGAGAGCAGATCCAAATAGAAACCCTGACCGAGTTTCCAGCACAGCGACAGTGAGCCCTGCAGTCAGCCTCCACAAGTTGCTGCAGCATGCCACTGGCTGTGGCCATATGGTTCTGTCCCTCAGGCATTGGACTTAGATTACACTGTAAGAAGCCTCCTTTCAAAGCTGGGCTCTCCTGAGATTCCAATGAATGTCTTTTTTGTATGCATAAATGTGTGTGGTGTTTGTGTACATGTGTTTGGTGTTTACCTCCATGCTTTCCACTGTGTATCACCAAGGCAACATTTCTCTGGCTGAACCAGGAGCTAGCTGCATTGGCTAGTCTAGCTAGCCAGCCTGCTCCTGAGATCCTGCCTCTACCTTCTGAGGTGGGGAGCAGAGGCGGGCTGCCACTTCTATCTGCCATTTGCATGAGTTCTGAGGATTTTAACTCTGGTCTTCACACCTGATGGAAGTGTTTACACAACAGAGCCATCTCCTCTTCCAAGTTTCTTAAAGGACTGTCTACCTGGACTCCGTTTTCGCTGCAGTACAGTGACACGGGAAAGGAGGCACTCCCACATGACTGGTCACTGCAGAGGTGGGTGGCTGCTCAGCTGGCCTTACCTGGGGATGGTAGACACTCAGGGATTTCACTTTGTGCAAGGGCAGCAACACCTTCAGCAGGAAAATCTTGTGCTCTTCCTTCAGTGGTAAGGCAAATCCATTTATTATACTGTGAAGACAGAATTGAGTTTGACCATTTACACCTCCAGATTATAATCAGCTATCCTGCTTTTCTTTCAGCTTTTGTTTGTAGCATGAAAAGCCAATGGGCAAAGTATTTACTTCAGAATAAAGGGGATATTGATAGAAACAACAACAAAAAGGTGTTCCAGGGAGCACAGTCTTTTTTTTTTTTGGGCCACAGGCCACAAGTCAGAGCACAGGGGGAAGCAGCTGGACCGCAGGAGCTCCAGGAGGGAGAGCCCCTTCTAGAACAGTAGGGGATGAGATGGCTGGAGGGCCCCAGCTCCAGATCCTCCCACCCAGCAACTTCCTTTAAGACACCTACATTCCTGGGGCTAATTCCAGTTCATTATCCTCGTGTGACCCCCACCACCCCATATGCAGACTGGGTGCTATTCACTCTATAGGTGTATCAGGGAAGGACCTCCAAACTGAACATTAACTAGCTAAACTATGTGGTTTCATGAATGGGCAATGTGAATGAATATTTTCCGAGCTGTGGAGCGTCAGAACAACGGGAACTTGGTCCTCTAGGAGTCATGCTCCTGCTGTACCCACCAAGGTGTGTACACTCGCAGGGGGAATCCTGGGGGATCTGTGCTGCAGGAAGGGTTAAAGACAGTGTGGCGAGATTTACAGCGCAGAGCACAGCACCAGGAGGGAAAGCGAGCTCTCCTCCCATTTCTTAGAAGGAACTTGCCCAAGGTCATGTGACTGGAAAGGGACACCCTTAGCCATGCTAAATAAGCCATGTTGTGAGGGAAAGACCAATCACATCTAAAGCAGCAACTTGTAAGGGACAGACCCACCAGACTACAGGTTCAGAGGCCAGAGGGAACCACCAGATTCTGCACACAGACTGCACATCTTCACTTCAGGAACACTCAGCTGCTAATGTACATTGATTCCCCTACAGTCGTTGGACAGAAGCACTGTCCAGGCTTAGCTCCAAGGAAATTTTTTGGAAAACAGTGGTCAGGGAATTGTTTGTTTTTTTAAACGATAGCAAGTAAAAACATTACTCAGTTTAAAATAATAAAAACTGAATTATACAATACAAATGAAAAGTCAACAAACTGAAGCAATTTAAAATATTGGCATTTAGGCATGAGGAGATGGCTCAATGTGGTTAAGAGTACTGGCTGTTCTTCCAGAGGACCAAGGTTTAATTCCTAGCACCTGCACGGTGGCTCACAACTATCTGTAACTCCAGTTTCAGGGGATATGACACCTCTGGCCTCCATAGGTACCAGCCACAAATTTACCCATAATTAAAATTAATAAACATAAAATCTTAGCATTTACTCAACACCTCACATATGTAATCTATTCTCGAATAAGCTTGTAATATCAACCTTCTTCTGCAATTACTTTTCCCCCCTTTGGTCTTTTGAGACAGGGTTTCTCTGCGAAACAGCTCTGGCTGTCCTGGAACTCACTTTGTACATCAGCTCGGCCTCAAACTCACAGAGAGCCACGTGCCTCTGCCTCCTGAGGCCTGGAATTAAAGGTGTGCACTATCACCACCACCAGGACCTGGAATTACTTTTAGCACTACTTGAGGGGAAAAAATTGAAGTTCCACAGTTTCCATAGTAATGGACTGAGGTGTGTAGGAAGGGCTCTGCCTATGGAGCCACACAATGGAAGCAAGTTGTTTTTTGGTGCACTCTGATCTGCAAGTTCACCAACCTTCCTTCTCCTTACATGAAACTATTTCCATTCTTTCAGGACCTGACTTAAAATTGCTGTGCTTTGGGAGAGGTGAGAATCAATGAGCTAGATTATTCTGGTGTAAACTCCAGCTTAAGCCACTCACTGCTAGTGACAGGAACTTACCTTCCCAGTATCTCCAGTAATTCTGCTATGCCATTGTGATGCTCTGTCTCATAAATAAACCTGGAACATACAATGTGTCATCAGTGTCTGACCCTGCGCAAAAGCTTTAAAGACTACAGCATTAACAAGGAAACAAGGCTGTAGGAGGAGAGCTGGAGGAGTCTGCAGCACTGACACCTTCCAGGGACAGCTGCTCAGGTGTTTTCAGAAGCCACCAAGTCCTCAAAGCTCTGCGACTAGACATCTTGAGGGCAGATAGCCTGCGGATGGCTCAAACTCCCAATGTTTTATTCTGAGAAGTTTCAAGTAGCCAGAAAGCCAACCCCTGTGTTTTAAGCAGCAGATTGAGCAAAACTAGTCTGCACTGTTGTTTGCCTTGCCATGTTTGTGTCTATCCAGCCTTCCATCCTATCCATCCGCCAAGCCACCTTGTTTCTTGGCAGCGTTTCAACATAAGGTGTTATCTTACTCAAGTTTTAGAGCCCCATAGCAAGCACACTCCTCACCATGGCTAGACCACCATGCTGCAGGTTCCTATGAACAGAGCCTGCTTCTTCAACAGCTTCCTGCCTGCAGTCTCTGCCTATTATGCCCTACACAGGCGTCTAGAGAGCTCCAGAAGTGTGCACCCCACTCTCTTTGTCAGCTTGTCTCCCTCCAGACAGGGACAAGGACTTCCTGTGAATATGTTCCTGGTGCTAAGACCAAGCCTGGCATCTGCATGCTACTTAAAAACGTCTGGTGAATGAACTGGAGACAAGAATAGGGAACAGGAGAATGTCCACCCCCAGAGAAGTCCCATGGAAACCGAACCTAGCTGCTTGGCTGTTGGTGAGCTACAGCAGTGGGGCAGGAGGGCAAGGCCCTGGGTGTCAGAGAGCACCTTCCCTATAAGATGCTTACTGAACTTCTGGCTCAAATGCCAATGTCCTGAGTCAAACTGGCTAGTGACCTTAAGATGCAGAAGAGAGACGTATCCAGACATGAAGGAGCCTGAAGAACAGGTGGAGGCATCTCCATATTCTCAGATGGCCAGGCCTCCCCTCATGGCTCCTACTTGTACTAAGCCCTAAGGAGGCCTCTGACAGACTCATGAAGGTGGGGCAGCAGAGGGGGAAGAACAGGCTGTAAATCCAGGTGAGATAGCGTGGAGAGCCAGAGAGCATGTGGGCAGGCTCCCAGGCCATGGTAGCCAGACACAGAAACAGGCAGATGTATTTGTCATATGAAAGCATGGCTGTGAGGGTATTGCCAGAGAAATGGCTGTGGTTATCAGAATGTGTGTCCCACCTACTTCCTGCTGACCTCTTCCTACCCCGCCCTAAAGCTGGCACGTCAGTCTGCACGTGGCAGTGTAGGAAGTGGTTTACTGTGTAAAGCTCAACCTGACAATCTCCTCTTCTTCACATATCTTAGCTCAAGCATTTTAAGGACGCTATAGCTCTGTGGCCGGTGCAGCACCGGTGTACACAGCACTCTCACAGGGGACCCCAGGCCTTCTCAACCTTCCTGGTATTGTAGGAGTATGGGGGTCATTGTAAGCCGTGTGGCTTTCCACATCAGTACCATTTTATGAGCACTTCTTACTTCTAAGCACTTTCAACTGACCAGGTAAGAAAGAAAAAAGGGGACTAGCTCTGCCTCCCCAGGAGACACAGTCTGAGAAGCCAAGCAGACCATTCTGAGCAAGCTCCTCACTCTTCAGCGAAGGCCAGACACTGATCTGAATCTGGGCTGGAACTGCTGCTCAGAGCAGTCTCCTGATGACATGGCCTGCACTTAAGCAAAGAGGTGATGTACTTCCTTTCCCGAGGAGCTGAACTGTCCTGTGGCTTGCCTTGACAATAAGTGGCGAGGGTGGAAGTAAGTGGCACTAATTTTGGGCTAATCCCCGAGGAGATGGGCAGCTTCTCCTGATTCCCTCCTGGAGTCAGTTAGTGCTCACAGAAGAGGCAACTCTGCCTATGACTCTGGGAAGGCGGAAACAGGAGAATTAGTGTCAGTTCAAGGTTAGTTCAGGCTACAAACAAACAAACAAACAAACAAGAAAACAAAACAAAACCAACAAACCAAACCACAAGGCCCCAAGCATGAGCAGAGAGGCCGCACGAACAGAGATGCACAGCAGGGAGAGGCTACCCAGGGTACTTCTGCCCTAGACTACAGCAGTTCTGCTGAGCCTAGGTCAAGGTCAGAGCTGAGCGGAGCAACAGGTGCTGATTTAAGCCACAGCACTGGGTGGGGCAGGAAGAGAAGGCCTGACTGCTCTCTGGCCTGGCTACCCTCCAGTTTACCACTTGCCAAAGCCAGCGCTGGAGTCACTGTTTGCTCACACCAAGAAACTGACTCAATGAGAAGTTACAAGCTAGAATCTTAGCTTAATGGTTCAGTAAGTCGAACCAAGTTGTTCAGAAGTATATTTTCTTACAAGCTACAGGTGCAGGTTGAGAACCTGCTATGTAGAATGCTCTGGACCAGCAGTTTACAATGTCAGAGATCATTCAGCTTCACATCTGCATATGCATGAGATATCTCTTGGGATATGACCCAAGCTGAAACAAAATATTCAATTATTCTATTCAATTACTCTTTACACAGAGCTGAAAGGTATTGCTATACATCCCCCCGCCCAGACAGGGTTTCTCTGTGTAGCCTTAGCTGTCTTGGAACTTACTCTACAGAGCAGGCTGCCCTTGAAGTCAGAGACTTGCCTGGCTCTGCCTCCCAAGTACTGGGATTAAAGGTATCCACCTCCACCACCAAGCTACTATGCAATATTTTAATTTGACTAAAAAAAAATTTGTAAAAAAAAAAAAATGGAGACAGGTTGTCTTTATGCTGTCTAAGCTGGTTTGTAGCCACTAGGCTCAAATGATCCTTCTGCTGTAACCTCCTGAGTAGCTGGGGACTGCAGGCATGCGTCCCTGGCTAGGCCTCATTCTAACTATGGCCTGCCACATAAGTCAAGTGTGCAATTTTCCACTGTGGTGTCATGTTAATGCTTTACGCATTGAGATGTTTGAGCGTATGGACTTCCGGGTTGGGGACAGTGAACACGCACAGTACTGCATTTCCATGATCTGGGAAGGCCGCTTGCTCAGGAGCTTTCTGACCCGTCACATGAAATGATGATGGCAAAAAGATCCTGGCCCATCAGGGATTCTAAGCTATGTTTGCTTTTGAGTGTGTCTATCAAGATAATTATAGAAAAGATGACCTAAGGGAGGAAATACAAAATCACCACACCGCAGCACTTGCCCTTTAGTGAGACCAGAACTGAATCACGGGTACGTATCCTGAATAAGCAGCTGAGCACCTCTGAGGTCAAGGTGAGCTCTGAGGTAGGAGGCACTTCCACAGTGCAGGTGTGTATGGGACGTGTGGCTCTACTGTCTGCGCAAGAACACTAGTCCCGAAGAAATAAAACCTACAGGCAAAGCCTGGGGTTAAGCTGGACCCATTCCGTGCAGAGAATGACATCAGCTGAGTGGTGATCTCGTGAGGAAGCACAGCACCAAGAAATGAGAATCAGGAGCTGACTATGCAGGTGCTGACATCATTCTCTATGGTCAGGGCTGGCTTCCATTACAGAAACAGTACGTACTACAAGGAACCTGGAAAGTGCTCAAAGCCCCATGACCAAGGACCCAACATCACAACATGACATCAGGCAAAGGATACACCAGGCCTAGAAAGGCCAGGGGGTCTCTTGGGCTGCTCAGTCTCACTGTCTCAGCTCCCCTTTCTTGGCCATTTTCAGTCACTGTGGGGAAGCAAGGATCAGGCAGGCCAGTGTGCTGCCATGAATGGCTGAATACTCAGATCCCATCCCCACAGCTAGACTGAGTGAAACTTAATTTATTTGATATTAGATGGATATCACATTTCCATCACTACTAAGATTTGTTACTTTCAGATTCCTCTGGAATCAGATGTCTGAAAGCAGAAAGCCAACCCAAGAGGCCAACAATTATAGAATAGACTGCTCACTTTCCAGGTACTAGTGAGAAAGAGCTACACAACCAGTGAGTTATAGGCTAGCCAGGGCCACATAGTGAGACCATCCGTAAAAGAGCTACAGCATCCCACCAGCACCCACTCTGTATCACTGTGGGTTGCACACAAAGCCGGTGCTACCAAGGTTGCCCTCGGGGAGCAGGAGCCACGTCAGCTCATGTGGAATTCTTGGGGTAGGAGATTTGAGGGCTCAAGGCAAGGCCAGGCAGCAGGACAGCCTGGGATGACACATGGCTGCACGGCCTGGAAGTGGGCAGAACCTGGAAGAACAGATGCAGCCTGGGAAAGCTGCATGTGTTAGCCAGACAGTGGCAGTGGCATGAACCATGTGAATGCAGCCCTTGCCTGCTTGGACCTTTACGTAGGTGAAGCTGGCCTGAGCTGTGGCAAATCTTTCTGCCTCAGCCTCCCAATCCCTGGGATCATAGGCATGTGTCTACATGCTCACCTGTGACATTAGATCTCAAGTGTCATGAGGCTTGGTCATGAGAGACAGGAGACAGGGTGGGGTGTGGAAGAGGGAAAGGTGGGGGTGAGACATCAGGAGTCACAGCCATCAATGTACTTGGAGGCTTCTGATGTGTACTTTCTGAGCTGGGGGCTGACGGGACAGATCGTGGTCACTTTCTGGTCCTGAAGGCCCAGGAAAGCTGTTCTGCTCTGCCTGCTGCCGGGCTCTCTCTGTGCTTGGCTGGCCCTCACGCTGCTCATCTAACTCACAGATCTTCCCAGGCAAAGGCTGATCACTTCCTGCCCTCCTCCTCCTTCCTGTCATCCCTGAGACCGACCAGGAATAATAAGGTAGCAGGCCAGTGAATGAGGCAGCATCAACTCGTCCACAATTAGAACAACTGGACAATTCTATAGGAACCCAAGCAAGGGTAGGGTATGTGGTGAGCCATTGGTGAAGGAAGCAAGTGTGGACCGAAAGGAAGGGGGCAAGGAGGCACACTGGCACAGTGTGATGATGTGGTTGGGTCACTAGCACGCTGCTCAGTTTCCTGCCCCTATCCTTGATGTGACAGCATTGAGAGTGGGCAGCAACCACACGGGGACTTACCTATAAAATATATTATTTATTTGTTTCCTGATGTAAGCGCGCAGGCCTAAGAACTTCCCATAGATTCTGTGAAGGGTAGTTTTGAGAAAATCTCTCTCCCGAGGATCCTCGCTGTCAAAGAGCTCTAGAAGCTGTGAGAGAAAAACAGCACTCAGTGCAGTGGCCATTCTGTACTGAGCCTGCTGAGGAACCCCTTGCTGGAAACTTACCTGTAATACAAACTTCTGATCAATATATTTCTTTGCTATATTGGGCTGAAAATCAGGAGACTCTAAAAATCTTAGGAAAAATTCATAAACAAGCTAGGAGGGAAAAAAACAATGAGTCAAATTACATGGTACTTCATTAGGTGGATTAAGAACACCTCTGATTCTTTATTTGCTTGAAAACACTAGACTTAAAACAAAAACCACACATGCATTCAAAATTAATGCTGAACTCTGCGGTTTAGCATAATTATAGCTGCAGGTGGAATTCTTTTTATTTAGCGAAAACCACAGACTATTTTGTAAATGGCACATAGTGCTTTCCATGGTGCTTGCTGCTACACCTGGGACCATGACCAGGCTTGGGAGTTGAGTCTGCACTTTGTCACCTATATGTATCATAGGATTGCCTGGAAGAGGAACAAAAAAGCACAGACACTGAACTGCAACCACTGAGGTTTCCTTTGTAAGTGAACATAGCATAGTTGGTTGGACAGCAAGGATGGTCTGTTGTGAGCTATGTGGAAGCCAGATGCTGTGATTGTGGAACATTTGGTTCCTTCCCAGATTTCTCACTTCTTTTGTTCTCTTCCTCACCAAGGACATATGTAAATGTTCTTTTGCTTGTGCTGACCTCATAACCAGTGGACTGCAAATCTTGCAGGCATGTTGGGAAAAGTCGTCTGTTAGCGAGGAGCCTGGTATATACAGGGGCATAGGTTTCAAACCCAGGCTCTGAAAATGGGAACAGCCTAAACCTGTATTAGCTCTAAACCTGTATTGGCTAGTTTTGTGTGAACTTGGCACAAGTTGTAGTCATTGATTGGGCTGTAGACAAGCCTGTAGGGCATTTTCTTATGTTATTGATGTGGAAGAGCCATTGTGGGTGGTGCCATCCCTGGGCTTGTAGTCCTGGGTTCCATAAGAAAGCAGGCTGAACAAGCCATGGGGAGCAAGCCAGTAAGCAGCAGCCCTCCAAGGCTTCTGCGTTAGCTCCTGCCTCCAGGTTCCTGTCCTGCGCCTTCCTTTGATAATGAATAGTGATGTGGAAGCAAAAGCCAGATATACCCTTTCCTCCCCAACTTGCTTTGGCCATGGTGTCTCATCATAGCAACAGAAATCTGAACTAGGCCAAAATCTGAACTCAATGTGATCAGTAAAGTGGGTATCATCATAGAGGACACACAGGTAAGTCTACATCTTTGCAGCTTGTGTTACGGGTACATAAAATAAATCACTCACTCACTCACTCACTCACTCACTCACTCACTCTTCTCCCTCTTGTCCTTTTATACCCCCTCTGTTCTGCTAAAACATTTTCAGACCAGAGCTTCCTTTAGATGAGAAGTCCACTGGTGCACAGCTAGAAGCCCCGGCCGCCACACACATAGCACACACCATCCCATCTGAGTTGGTGCCAGGTCAAGTACCTGCAGATGAGGCCAGGCTGCTTCTAACGTTGGTTCATCTTCTTCTGGATCGAATTCTGCTCCCGTAGGATTGGAGGAGGGTGGCAAGGTTCGAAACATGTTAACTGCAAACTAAAACCCACATATTCCATGATCACAACAGGACACTTCAAATATTACCAAAAACATTACAAGAAACACTAAATAATCCTAGTGATAGATGCTTCCCATCCTAAGATGTACTCTTTCTTAAGATTTAAAAGCAGTGTGGGTCTCCAAAAGAAACAGGGTCAAATCTCTATCTTGAAATAGGCTTTGCGGGCAGTGGGCCACCAAGCTGACTGCTATGGTCACTCGGACTCTCAGCTGTTAAATGAACAAAGGCAGCTGATCCCAGTAGATCCTAAGAGGTTGGCATTGACTTGTGAGACTGTTCCATCCAGTGAGTGGGGGGAGAAAAAGCTAGGAAAAGACAAGATGACAAAGGCCACAGAAGAGACTAAAGAAGCGAGGACAATGAGAGAGCAGCAAAGGCTGCTGCCCAGGGCCACAGAACACGGGCAGAGAGCAACCCCTCTGGCAGCTGGAGATCACTTGGGAGACTGCTTGCTAGCACAGGGAAGAGGTGACAGCAGAGTCCGGCTGTGTGCCCAGGGGCTGGCTGAGCAGAGCCCTTTCTCTATCTAAACCTGCACAGAACACTTTGATTGGCCAGTGATGGAAACAGCAAAGTCTACTTTCTCTAAGTCATTAACTTACTTTTTTTTGGTGTATGTTTACACTTTTTGTGTGTAAGTTTAAATATGACCTATTATCTTATGACCACTATAAACCCACCAAATGCCAATTACAGCCCTGACTGACAAAAAGTTCTTATCCTACACTGTCAAATGCAAACGCCGAAATATCAGGCATAAACACAAATGCCACCTCCAGGACATCCTCCTGGGAGTCTGGCGAGCCTGGCGGCTGAGAGGCCTGCCCAGCAGGCAGACAGGTACTTCATAGTTCCCTGTTTTCCCTTCTTCCTAAGGGTTTATTTTCATCTTCTGTGTCTGAATATCTCACCTGCATGTCTGACATGATACTGCGTGCTTGCCTGGGCCTGTGGAAGCCAGAAGAGAGTGCTGGATGCCCTGGAATGGAAGTTACAGATGGTTGCAAGCCACTGTGCGGGTGCTGAGAACTGAAGCCATGTCCTCTGCAAGAACAGCCAGTGCTTCGAACAGCTGAGCAGCCTCTCAAGCCCTCCTTGTTTTGTTTGTAGACAGGCTCTCACTATATATTCTAGGCTGGACTGGAACTCAAAATGTAGCCCAGGTTAGCCTCAAGCTTGAAATCCTTCTTCCTGGCCTTCTGAGAGTCAGAAATATGTCACCACCAGCAGCTATTTCTTCTTTCTTTACTGTCAGCAATACCTACTTTGTAACCTGACATTTCTTATGATGTCACCAGCAATAAAAACTTGGAGCGGCTGTGTAGTTTCTATGAAGAAAGACATGAAGGTACAGAGAAAGTAGAGGAATGCAGAAAAGAAAAAGGCTGGAAATTCAGAAACAATGTAAAACCTGAAAGGAAGAGAAGTCCAGCTGCTAAGCCTCAGTAGTGCCCACAGAGCACTAAGTGTCAGCTTCTGCCTTCTGGGGACTGGAGCCCTCTGTGATGCAAAAAACGTGCACCAGGTCCCATGAGGCTTCCCAAACAAGGGAGGACAAGCAATGGCGACAAGCCGGTATGTACAGGATGTTTCTCAGTAGATGGGGGATCAGGACCAGGAGGGCTTCCTGAGGTAACATACTCATGAAGCTCAAGGATGAGACAAAGAAATAGGATGAGCCTAGCCACACATAGCCTGGTTGGGCCATGAGGTCCTCTCAGAGCCTGCCCAATGGTGGCAGAACTGATTCTGTCACCATCAGCCAATTCCCTGGGTTTCCTGTACCTTCCCAGGCTGTGAATGTACTGGGAGAAGGAAGTTAGAAAGAATTGAGTCTTGTCTGGAATGATTGTCCCCATTCTCAGATGGAGAAGAGCTAAAGGGCCTTAAAAATAATAGGAGACTGGCTCTGCTCTCTGGTGGGTACAAGCTGCAGGCTCAGGCAGGTGTCATCTCAGGAGCAGAGGAGGGCATCTGGATACCCGGGAGGGTCAGCATATGCAGAGGCTGGGGATCCAGGGGAAGATCTTTGTGATGCTGAAAGCTGCCCACAGGCAAGGATATGCCACATAGGAAGGACTACCACACTGCTGGCACCTATAGGCAGTGATGGAGCAAAAAAGCAAGTGGTCCCCTGCTTAGAGACAGTGAGAGGGGCCCCATGTTAAGCCCTTCACAGGTGATGCCTCAGGAGGAGATACAGATAAAATCCAGAACACAGCTTCAAGCAAGTTCAGTTTCAAAGATGACGAGGGTTATGTAACCCACTCCAGAAGTACTTAGGAGCAGAACTGTGGTGTCATGGACCCTGGAGAAAGGCAACAGCTGAGAAGGAAAATGGCAGCAGCGTCATTAGACACTGTTACCCAAGGAGTTCTCATGTAAGAAAACATGACATTTGAGCTCCCAGCCACTTTCTTTCTGCACCAAGATACACTGACAGTGCTCCTTCCCAGAAAAGTTCAGCAAAACTCTAAGGCTTAGTGGGGGAAAGTGACAGAGCTAAACATATAATGTGACAACCCAAATTATACTTGGGCTTCTAATCTGGTAGCATTTTTAATAGAAGACCATTTGTGGAAGGACAGGTTGGGAAAAGTGATGGTGCTGATGTCACTTCCATGCTACTGGGCCCTGTGGTGTTGGGAGTGATGGAACCGAGGCATTAGCAACATCGTCTATGACAGGGACGGAGGGCTGGAAGCCTGAGGCACTCTGTAGGGTGTGCCAGCTTGGCCATGATCTTGTAAATGGAATGCATACATTCAGAGGACATACGGAGATACAGATGCATGACAGGACCAAGTCACATATGGGAGGGTAGCACAGCCTTGTCAACAGCACCTTTCTGTGACCTCTTCTTATTTAGAGTCCTGACAGTAATGGGTATTCTGCCTGGGGCTCAACGTGCCATCTCTAAAAAGGGCAAACTTCTTCTTCACATCAGGCTGCTCTGAGGATCACACAATGTCTGCAGAAGCATTCTGTCAGTTGTCACTGTTCAGCATGTCCTAAATAGATGTTAAGGCAGGCTTGCAAGTGTCCATGTGTGTATGTAATCCGCAAAGCCCCCCCACGCCCTGATGGGGACCAACAATACCAGAAAGCGCCGGCACTCCCATTCTCACCAAGTCTCACCTGCAGACTGTTCTCACATTGTCGTATTCTCCGATTTAAAGATGAGACAAACCAGCCCGAGAAACCATGTTAAAAGAAGACTCTTCTACTTCAGCAGCCCTGTGTAGCCTTTCTGTACCTACAGTAGCCATTACCAATGGGTAGCTGGGATGTGAAGGACAGTCCCAAACAGAACAATGATTCTCATTCCAGAGACACTTCTGGTAAGACAGTTTTCATTTCTCAGCCCTGGCTTTTGTTTTTAACCACTGAGAGCTCCTGCTCCCCTCACTCCCATTCCCTCAGTCTTAGTGAACATGGTTTCTGTGGGGAGTCCAAGGGTCAAATGATGGCTCCTTCCAAACACTCTTCCCTCCCGTAGACTGCAATGGAATATCAGACTTCAAGAGACACATTTCTGAGAAGTTTGTTAAGCTGTCTTTAGTTTGTATGTGACATACCTGTAAAACACAGACTCAGATTGACCGACCGACACAGCTGGGCCGTAAGACACAAAAGCCAAAATAAAAAAAACTGACACCGAGTTACAAATTCTGGCTCGACTGTGTTCAGAGAAAGCACAGAAACTCATAAAGGCTCTACCCAACCTGC